AATAGAAAATCCAGAAATAAACCCACAGATTTATGGTCAACTAATCTTTGACAAAGGAGCAAAGACTATGCATTGGAGCAAAGAAAGTTTGTTCAATAAATGGTGCTGGGAAAACTGGGTCGCTACATGCAAAAGAATGAAGCTTGACCACTACCTCACACCATACACAAAAATCAACTCAAATGGATTAAAGAATTAGACATAAGACCTGAAACCATAAAATATATAGAAGGAAATATAGGCGAAACACTACGTGATTTGCACATCAAAGACATCTTTACAGATGCATCACCCAAAGCAGTGATAGTGAAGGCGAAGATAAACAGCTGGGACTACATCAAATTAAAGAACTTCTGCACAGCAAAAGAGACAATAACAAAAACAAAGAGAACCCCACCAACTGGGAGAACATTTTGCACCCAACACTAATGATAAAGGACTGATCACAAAATCTGCAAAGAGCTGATGAGACTCAACAACAACAAAGAAAATAATCCAGTCAAAAAATGGGCAGAAGAGCTAAAAAGAAACTTCTCTGAAGAGGAAATGCAAATGGCAACAGGCATATGAAAAATGTTCAACATCACTTGTCATCAGGGAAATGCAAATCAAAACTACCATGAGATACCATCTTACACCAGTGAGAATGGCACATATTAAAAAAACTAGCAACAACAAATGTTGGCGAGGTGTGGAGAAAAAGGAACTCTTCTGCATTGTTGGTGGGAGTGCAAACTGGTCCAACCACTGTGGAGAGCTGTGTGGAGATTTCTGGACCTACTAAACATAGAGCTTCCATAGGATCCAGCAATTCCACTCCTAGGTATTTACCCAAAGGACACAGAAACATCAATTCCAAAGAACACCTGCACCCCTATGTTTATAGCAGCACTGTTTACAATAGCTAAGCTTTGGAAACAACCCAAATGCCCAAAAATAGATGACTGGATCAAGAAGATGTGGTACATATTACCATGGAATATTACTCAGCATTCAAAAAAGATAAACACATGCAATTTGCAGCAACATGGATGGCGCTGGAAGGGATCATGCTCAGCGAAATAAGCCAAAAAGAAAAAGAAAAATACCGGATGGTCTCACTCATAGCAGGAATCTAGAAAACTTAAATAAGGGACCAGGAAAATGAATAACTATAAGAAAGTGAAAATCAAAATCAACAAAAACTATGAACCAGAGACACTTTTAGGGGGGGCAGGGGCGGGAGGGGAGGGATTGGGGTCAGAATGGGGGCGCTGCAATTGTATGGGGAATATAACAATAAAATTTATTATCTAATAAAAAAAATTAAAAAAAATAAAAAAATAAAAAAAGATTGTGAATATGATACTCGAATTTAGGGAAGAAATAGTCAGGAAAAGATTTTTATTAGTAAAGCTTATTGAATATAATTATGATATGTGGAGCTGTGAAATACTCCTGGGAATAAGATTGTTGTGGATAAGTTTATTATAATAAAGTTGGCATATTCTGCTAGGAAGAGTAGGGCGAATGTGTCTTTTGCATATTCAACCTTGAAGTCAGAAACTAGTTTTGATTTTCCTTCCGTTAGGTCAAAGGAAGCTGGGTTAGTTCCTGCCAGTGTTGAAATAAATCATATTATAGCTATTGGTCATAAGGGTAAAATTAATTTGTGTACTGATAGAGGTTAAGAGTAGAAAATTTGGGATGGAGGCGTCGCAAGACCAGAAACTAAAGAAATGAAAAATCCTTTGGTGCCAACTGCTATACCAAGTGTCATACTGCTATAGAAAATATCAGGAGGCAGACCAGAGTTGGGGAGATGGAGATTGAGGGCCATTATAGAGATCTGTCCTTACAAATCAACCTAGTTACACCCTAAAATTGATTAACAGTAGATAACAATTCCACAAAGGAGTGAACCCCTCCCAGATAGAACACTATATGAGTACAATTTCTGCAGCTCTCCTGCCCGCTTGTGCCTAAGCAGGCATTTTTCATGAAACTTTTCCTTTTGTAAAGCAGGACCAGCAGCTCTCCTGCCCACCTGTGACTCTGCCGGGACCTTTTTTTTTTTTTCCTTTTCCTGACATTTGTGCAAATGTCTTAGTCTCCTGGGTAGGCTCACCACGGCCACGTGCAGCTGAAAGGGAAACTGCGGAAACTTTTCTTTCAGAGGCAACCTAAGGATCCCACTTTCTGAACCCAAAATCTCATCAAAACAACAAAATATATTCTTAGGTGATGATTAGTGTTGGGAGTGTAAACGACCCATTTGTAAATAGGATTGCTAATAGATAATTGTTAATGTCACTTCATATGAAATTGTGCTTCTGCTTGTAGCTCTTCAGTTAATGGATATTTTAAATTTGAGGCTCAGCCCTATCAGAGTATAGGCAGCTAAACTTGATTCTGACTGATGTGATGGAGCACAGCCCAGACAAGGCCACGTCCCCTTGGGAGAAATGCTCTGCTTTCAGGCAGAAATTCCTTTCCCCCTCACTGGCCCTAGACCTTTGACTCCATATCTCATTTCAGTGATTTGGGCAAAAGATGTAAGTGTAGGGATTTCACCACGGAAGTTCTGATCCCAGCAGAAAAGCTGAAACGCCCTAAATGCACCAATAGTGGATTAATTATAGCTTATCCACAGGACATAGCACTCTCCACCCATCATTTGTGTATGAAGGAAAATATTTACTGCCTAGAAAGTTATGCTAAACTGCCAAGTTCAAAAGGACACGAGCAAATGCTGTAACTCCATCTTTAAATTTGAGCTGGAGTGTAAGATGTGTGATATGCATGTGCACTCCCTGCCCTCACATATGCCCACACACATGCTCACGTGCACACACAAATGAAAAAACAGCTAGGAGCAGATAGAGCTAAATGTTAACAACCCTTAACGGTGGGCAATGCTGGATTTACAAGTAATTTTTCATTCTCATTTATTTGCTTGCCTGTGTCTTCCAACATTTTATTGTGAAATTATGAAATAACGAAAATTCAACAAATGGTGCTGGGAAACTTGGACAGCCACATACAAACAAATGAAACTAGATCATTATTTAACTCTATGCATGCAAATTAATTAAAAATGAACTAAAGACTCAGATATAAGGCCTGAAACCATAAAATGTATACAAAAAAACATAAGCAGTACAACCCTGGACATCAGCTGCAAAGTTGTATTTGGGGACTCAACTCTACTGGCAAGGGAAACTAAAGCAAAAATAAACAAATGAGACTTCATAAAACTAAATGCCTTTGTACCACAAAAGAAACCACCACAAAAACAAAAAGTCACTGTGTGGACTAGGAGAAGATATTTTCACATCACATGCCAACAAAGGATTAATTTCCAAAATATGTAAGGTACTCGGACAACTCAACAACCACAAACAACCTAATTTTTAAAAACTGAGCAAAATTTTAGACATTTATCCAAAGATGATATACAGAGGCGCATGAAAAATGTTCAGCATCACTTACTATAAGGGAACTGCAAATCAGAAGCACAATGAGGTATCACCTCATTGAGAGCAAAACAATGGTTAGTAAGAATACCTGTTGTGGTGAAAAGCACACCTTGGTGTACACACTCCATAGTCATAGGTTAACTTATGATAGAGTAGGGGTTTTGAGTTAAAATGATAAGTTCATCTTTGTAAAGTTTGTATTCTTGAACTGACAACATAAGGAAATATATTCTTCAAATAAACAGTTTTTAAAAATTCAAGAAAAATCCATAATACTATTCCTCTTACTGATGCAAAAAGAATATCTTTCTCTACAAATAAAAGTCCAATTGTATTCTGATCAATAGTAGAGAAAACATAAGTTAAATCATTACTGTTAAAAATAAAGAAGTAATTGTACAATTAGTAGAAATAAAAATTTCCCCACTAATGACATCAGGGAGAGTGACAAAAATGAACGAAACTTCACTAAGCTAATAAGAAAAAGCAAAAGATAAAAGTTGTAATTAAGAAACAGTAAAATCATAATAAGCACAATATAAAACAAAAAGAAGAAGTTATCATAATTATGCACATTGAAATGGCTGGATCTCAAGACAAAAATGTGGGATTAAAACAAAATATATATTTATAGCTAGGTACAAGAACTGTATCATAAACTAAAGAAAAATGCAAAATAAACTTTTAGGGAAAGAATACCAGGTAAGTGACAGCAAAAAAAAAAAAAAAAAAAAAAAAAAAGCAGCAACAGTGGTGTCCTGTGGTGTCCTTATCAAAGTAAATCAATGTCAAAAGCGCTAGACACAAAACAAGAAAAATACATAACAGTATTATGCAAAACGGCCTAAGGTTTACACTTTAGGAATCCCCCCAACCCCAAAAAATGACAAGGAGAACTTTGTTTGAAAATATTCTAACATTTATTCTATCTTTTGATAATGTACAATCCATGTAAACAAAAAGACAAAAATTCACAGTAAGAAACCTTAATCATCAAACTAGATTGAAATCTGTACATAACAGAAAATACATTTTTTTCTCTTATATCCATGAAAGATTTACAAAATTCGGTTGAGTATATGGAACATGAAGAAAAATCCTGAGAAATGTTTTTAAGTTCAGATTCAACAGGCTACATTCAATGCTTATGGTAAAATAATAATTACAAAAACAAAAGAAAGAAAAGACAACAAAAACCTTAACCAGATAGAAACTGAGAAACTTCAATTACTTGAATCAAAGTGAATTTAGTTCTACAACTGAATCTTTCATACCAGAGTTTTTGAGATACAGCTCCATTAAGAGTAAAGTGTCTAGTCTGTAATCCTTTATATTTAAAAAAAAACCTGGAGAATGAAAAAATAATCAGCTTATGAATTTGATATTCAAAATGACAAAAAGAACCCAAAAAATCAAGCAAACACATGAAAATGAAACACAGAACTAAAAAATAGAGTAGTGGCATTAATAAAAATGAAAGCTTAAATAAATAATATAAACCTAAGAAGTATAAATAAAACATGAAAGAATACATTGGATGGATTCGCCTCTGGCAAATCTGATCAAATTGAAATGAAAGAAAAAATATTGCATTAAAAGGTGATGGTAAACAAGAGGTCATAATATAAACTTATAGTGGAAGAAGAGGTATAAATCTCTATAGAGCAATACTTAAATATTTAGGTGAAATACATGAGTCCCTGAGAAAAGAGTAATTGTGAAAATTAATGGAAAAATCCCTAATGGACCAGTGTGTAATGTCTGAGACAATTTTACTGGACACACCTCTACAGGCACAGGGAACCTGGCTGGGACCGGCAAAGGCAGAGGGGGCAAAGGTCTTCGTTCTCTTCTGACCACCTTATAAGAATGAAATGGACATGGCCAGATGGGGACTCAATGGATAGGACGGGCTGGAAAGAGCAGATCCAGAGTGGGGTACTGGGAAGGAAGCCAGAATGTGATGGGCTGGTGTGAGATGAGATTAGCAGGTGCCAAGGTGGACAGAAAGCTGGGACCTCACCAGCCAGGGCAGAACAAGATCGGTGAGGGCAGAAGCATGACTGCCCCAATATTCTGAATTCTCCTGAGTGTCCCAAAGTGGAATCATCAAGGGAGACTATCCCGCACTCACCTATCCCCCACCCTAACATTTTAACACCTCTGATGTGGGGAATATTTACAATTCCCAGGCTTCCTCCCAACCACCCTGCTCTTCTGCCCTTTCCAGGCTGTCCTATCCAGGCTGGTTTGGAATTGAGTTGGTGGCCACAGATACAGGTTTAGGGGACACTGGGGGATATTAAGAGCTCTTATTGTTCCAAATTAATGAACGAAACTCTAGCAGTGGGAGATGAGGGCAGACCATGTCCAGGTTCAAGGGAGAAAGAGATGGAGGGATGGACAGAAATGGGAGAATTCTGAGTACACCCTGCCCCTAAGGACAGAGTCAAGAGACCAAATGGTGAACACAGAAGCACGGAGAACGTCCAAGATGCCCTAAGAAACAGACAGAAAGATAGGTGTGTGAGGAATTCATGGAGTGTCTCCCTCATGCAGGGCACTGGGTGTAGGACCTTAGGTGCGCAGAGCTCAGTTTTCATCTTTGGAACGCAGATCAGGGGTGAGGGGGTCGTGCTGGGTCGTCTGGTGAAGCATCAGCGCCAGCAGGCCTGCCCGGTTAGTCATGGAAGCATGCACGTTGCGCTCCTGCTCCAGCAGCTCTTCCAGCTTGTGCAGCTGTGGAAGGTGAGTGTGAGGGGGGACTCCAGGATTCTCCCGCACGCCCCAGCCCCACCGAGCATCACCACTTACCACACGCACGCGCTCCAGGTCCACCTCGGCACGCCTCAACTTCTCCCAACAGTAGTGGTAGTTGCACAGACGCTTGGGGAGGCGACAGAAGTCACCGGTGAACTCAAAGACATTATGCACTAGCGGGCAGCCACACACCTCATCGTCTGCTGCCTGTGGGGCAGAACGAGGGATGATGAGGTAGGAGGAGTGTGATGGGGCGGACATGATAAGTGTAGGGGATTAGAGGGCCGCTGGGCAGGAAGGGGAGAAGTAGCAAGTGATGGTGTAGGAGAGAAGAGAGGAACCAGCGGCTGGGTAGGGAAGAGGAGGTGAAAGGGACGTGACCAAGACAGAGAATGAAGGAATGAAGTTAACAAGGCAAAAATGGAGGAATGGACATGATTAGGCAGGAAGAAGGACAAACAGGTCCCACAGGAAGAAGCGAGGGGATGAAGGCAAGTCAGACAGTGAGAAGGAGATGAACAGCTTGGTAAGGCGGGGGAGGGGGGCCTGACGAGGCTGGGTGATGGGAGGAAGGGGGTGGGTTAAACAGGGAGGAAGAAAGGAGTTGGGAGATGACAGGCAGGGAGAAGATGATCGGGGCAGTAGGGCAGAAAGAAGAATCAAGAGAAGTCAGAAAGTGAGGAAGAAAGGAGTTGATGGCAGGCATGCAGGGAGGAGAGGAGGCGTGTGGGCACGCGGGGAGGGCAAGGAATGGAGGTTGGCCAAGCAAGGAGAAGAGTGGGGACTGCTTAAGCAGTGAAGAGCAGAGGAATGGAGGGTGTCAGGCAGCGAGGGAGAGAGAAATAGATGGGGGCGGTCAGGTGAAGAGGGTTTGAATAAAACAGCAGTCAGGCAAAGAGAAAAGTTCATAGGTGTTCACGGTGTGGTAACATACATCCCGAAAGGTATGAGCCTATACCCTAAATCATATACGGTACTGTAAACCAATGTTACCTCCAGAAAAAATAACACAGTTACTGCAAATTGCATGTGTTTATCTTTTTTGAATGCTGAGTAATATTCCATGGTGTATATGGACCACATCTTCTTGATCCAGTCATCTATTTTTGGGCATTTGGGTTGTTTCCAAAGCTTAGCTATTGTAAACAGTGCTGCTATAAACATAGGGGTGCAGAGGGCCTCCCTGGTGGCACAGCGGTTGAGCGCTGGGTTGCGAAGCTGCCTGCAGCCTCTGCAGCTCTGGTTCAATCCCCGGCCACCAGCGAGGGTCCCACATGGTGCGCAGACCTCTCCTGCAGCACCCGCTGCTCCCCTCAGCAGTGTCCTCCGTCTCTCTGCCTGTTCTGCTCCCCGCACTGGCTCTGGTGAATTCTCTCACCCTCCCGCACTTCTGACTGTACCCAGTGCTTGTATAAATAAATAAATAAATCTTAAAAAAAAAATAGGGTTGCAGGTGCAACATGGATGGAGCTGGAATGGATCATGCTCAGCAAAATAAGCCAGAAAGAAAAAGAAAAATACCTGATGGTCTCACTCATAGCAGGAATTTAGAAAACCTAAATAAGGGACCAGGAGAAAGACTAATTATAATAAAGTAAAAATCAAAATCAAGAAGCAACTATAAACCAGAGACACACTACAGGGGGGAGGGGTAGGAGGGATTACCATCAAAATAAGGGGGGTGGGAATTGTATGGGGAATATAACCAAGATGAAAAAGCATACATTGTGCAAAAATGAAAAATGATGTAAAAATATATAAAATAAAATATTAAACAAAAATAGCACAGTTAAAATTAAAAAAAAAAAGAATAGGTAATCAGGCAGCGAGGAGAGGATAATATGGGGTGATCAGGAAGAGAGGACACATGATGACTGGTGAGGAGGGAGGAAGGCAGGCCAGCAGGGAGGAGGAACGAGAAGGAGGGGGATAAGGTAGAAAACGAACAGTCTCACCTTTGGGTCCCGAGAGTGCTCGGGCACAGCACCTGGAGCCGCTTACAGTACCTCTTACTCTGTGGGTCATACACATCACAGAAGAGTCTTGTGGCCCTGAGAGGAAGTTGAGAGTGAGGTACTGAGAATGGGGAGGAGGGAAGTCTTGCCCTGAACCCTGACTTCACTCTGTCCGCAACCCCACCCATACCCTGTCCCGTTCCCACCTCTGCATCTGAGCCCATTATTCACAGCATGTCTTTGACCCTGACTGGTACCAACACTCACCCCTCAATGCAAGTGGGGTACAGTGACCCGAAGGACGATTTGCACTCATACTAGGAAGAAAGAATACAGGTGGGAAGAACTTCAGATAAAAACTGCTGCATGCCCTCCCATGACCAAGCTCGAACACATATGTGTCCCCTGTAGACGCTGTGCCCTGTAGACCCTGCGTCTGCCCAGCCTTTGTGCCCCCTCACTGCTGACTGACACCCCAATCTTGGCCCTCATACTAAGGATAGAAAAAAAGCACAAAAGAGTAGAGCCAGGAACCAAATCTACTCTCCTTCCTGTGGACTCCACACAGCCGGACACCCTGGCCCCACCTGCCCCCAGCCAAAACCCCGACCTTGGCAAAGCAGCGCTCCATGTGGCGCAGGGCGACATTCATATTGATGGGTTGCCCGCAGGAGACACAGAAGATCTTCAGGTCTACACCATCCTTGCCACCTTTGTTACTCTGCAGGTAATACTGAAGCAGTACAGAGTGAGGATGGGTAAGGCAAGATACCAGATATCACCCCACCCATTCCCTCTTACCTCCTCATCCCTGCACACTGTCTGCTGCTTGCCGTGCTGAATGATGGCCTCAAGTTCATGGAACCGGTACTCCATGTACTTCAGGCGGGCATGGGTGTCCTGCTGTTCACGGTGAATGCGTTCGAGCACTTTCTTGCTTTGCTCCTCAGCAATGCAGGGACTCTTCTGCCACTGCTGGATGCGCTTGGGCAGGATCTCATAAATGCGGCTGGGAGGAAAGACCGCAGGAATGGAATGGGTAGGTGAGAGCATCAAAAAGAGAAATGGAGGAGTGAGCCACCAAATAGGGAATGTAAAGAATAATTAGTAGTGGGTGAATGACTATTGATGATAGGTGGTTGAATGGTGGATGAATGGGTGAGTGGAGTGACAGGTGAGTGGGTCAATAACTATAAAGGTGAATGAGTGGGTTGGTGGGTGGAATGAGGCTGGGTGGTTGGGTGGGTGGTTGGCTATAAGGATGGATGGAGGGCCCCGCTGGTGGCGCAAAGGGTTAAGCACTGCACTGTGAAGCTATCTGCAGCCTCTGCAGCACGAGTTCGATCCCGGGCCAGGGAGCAACCCACATGGCACAGCAGACCTCTCCTGACTCGCCCTCTGCTCCCCTCAGCAGTGTATTTCAGTCAGTCTGTTCTGTTCTGTTCCCCACTCTGTCTCTGGTGAATCCTCTCACCCCTCACACCTCTGGCCTGTACCCCAGGTCTTGTATGCATAAATAAAAAAATCTCTTTTTTTTAAAAAAAGGATGGATGGATTGGTGGATGAATTTACAGAGAGCATAGATAACACCCTACTCCATGCCCTGTTGCTGAACCTCCAGGTACACTCACTCAGCTGCCAGCTTCATGCCACAGTCATCTGAGCAGTACTTGGAGCCTGGCCTGGTGGGATACACACACTTAGGTCCCAGGCACTGCCGTAGCGAGGCTGGGTCTGGGTTCTCGGCATCTGTCTTCTCTGAGTGTTTCCACTTGTCTGTGAGCTGCTGCTGCTTCTTTCTTTTCCTCCTCTTCTTCTTTTTCTTCTTCTCCTCCTTCTTCTCCTTCTTCTCCTCCTTCTGTGGGGCAAGAGTGGGCAGGGCAGGGGCAGGGAAGTTGATGTCAGTCCCTTAACCCTGTATCCCTGCCCTGTATACTACCCCAACCTCTGCCTCCATGCCCCCCATTCCACCATTTTTGTCACCTTGCGCTCTACCTTTTTCTTCACATTCTCCTTTTTCTTCACATTCACTGCCTGCTCCTGCAGTGAAGGGTCCAGGACCATCAACTCATCAGTGGCACTCATTTAGAGCTGTAGACCAGGAAAATGTTGACAGGTCTCCCCAACTTAAATACTTCCTAAATGCTGACCCTCTCTGCTCTCACTGTCCCCATGCTTCCACCAGTGTTCCTGCCACACATTCATCAGGCTTTGCTTATCAAAAAGTCCCCTATGTAAGAGTCTGGGTATAGGATTCAGTTCTGAGGCAGTCTTCAGACAACAGGATGTGGTTGTTGTCTCAAGTGCCTCCTTTGTGCCAATGTCACAGCTGCCATTGGACTTCTGGGAAGCCTGGACTTGTGCAGTGGAGGAAGCTTTGGTTGAGGGATCAGTGGCCAGTGGGACCATGGGAAGGTCTGCATGGTGTTTCATGCAAGAACTGAGAGGCAGGCGCTAGGCACCCACTCTACTCTGCCATCCACCTTGTGTCCTGGACTCACCAGAGACCAGGGGTTACAAGTGGGGTTCCCATGCTGGTGGGAGGAAGTCTTGTGTCAGTACTAAGTAGGTAAGGAAAGGCTCACCAAGTCCCAACCCTTCTGGTCTCACTTTCTGGCCAGTGTGGCCTGGGCCTAAGTACCTGCCTGGATACACCAGGTCCTGTCTACCTGGGAATTACTGGCAACACCTGGCCCTTCTTGCCCATCTTTTCCAGACACACTGGGCTAATCCATCTTGCCTGCCAGAATGCATAAGACCATGCTTATCAATCCAGCTACACTAGACTCCACCCCCTTAGACTTGCCTGGCTCAGTGGCACTGCCTTCCAGGACACATTTGCTACCCTGCCCATCCTGCACCAGCAACCCAAAGCCCACCTCTGCCCAGCCTGCTGAAACATGCATGCCCCCCACAACATGCTCTGGCAAGTTGAGCCACCTTCCTGGCCCACCCAGTCCACCTAGACTCTCTAGGCGCCCCTGCCAGACCCTGTCCTCTTGGACACACTCTATATCTGCCTGAGGCTCCCAGCCAGTGCCCTCCACACATTGGACAAGGGAATACCCAACCCCACCCCCGTGCCAGGCCCCACCTCCTCAGACTCGCTAAGTCCCATATGCCCCTCCCCCCATGTAACCAGTTTCACCTTCCCTTCTGCTGAGCAGTGTAAACCAAGCCCTGCCCCCCCCATCTAAATATGTCACGCTATTCATCCTTCTGAACTAATTTACCTAGAATTTTAGTCTTTATTCAGAAAAGTATTCCTCCCCACACACAGTAATAAGCAAAATATATGAACATCCAAATAACACATCATTAAAATATAAAATATCAATAAATGCGCAATATAAAAAATATTTCGACGGAAACTTGAACAAACCCCCATCCTGATTCCAAAGTCCCCCGTTAACGACTCCGAAATACACGAAAATGGACTCTGCCTGCCGGATGTTTCCATCCCTCATTCGGGATTTTGTGCCATCTTAACACTTAATGTTATTTATTTATTTATTTGTTTGTTTGTTTTGTTTATACATGCACTGGGTACAGTCAGAAGCGCGGGAGGGTAAGAGAATTCACCAGAGCCAGAGCGGGGAGCAGAGCAGGCAGAGGACCGAAGTACACTGCTGAGGGGAGCAGCGGGCGGCAGGAGAGGTCTGCGCGTCATGTGGGACCCTTGCCCAGTGGCCGGGGATCGAACCGGCGCTGCAGAGGCCGCGGGCAGCTTCGCAACCCAGCGCTCAATCGCTGCGCCACCTGGGAGGCCCAACACTTAATGTTTTTAAGTGACAATCTCTCACATTCTGGGAACCACAGAAATGAAAGTCGGGGGAAAAACAAATATTAAAATATATAAATATACAAATAAAATATATATATATATATACGCTTGCAAACAAATCACTACTTTTAGTGATTACGTGAACAAACATGCAGAGAATATACATGTTTTGAATAAGAAAATCAGTTGGAGAACTCAAACTATTTTCGAGCTAGAGATGTAATATTAAGAAAAACTGACCCTGGGGCCTCCCTGGTGGCGCAAGGGAGACACAACCTATGAAGCTATCAGCAGCCACTGCAGCACGAGCTGGATCCCCGGCCAGGGAGGTGACCCACATGGCGCAGCAGACCTCTCCTGTCTTATCCTGCTCCCCTCAGCAGTGTATTTCAGTCAATCCACCAGTTCTGCTCCCCACTCTGTCTCTGGAGAATCCTCTCACCCCCTGCACCTCTGGCCTGTACCCCAGCTCTTGTATGCATAAATAAATAAATCTTTTTAAAAAACTGACCCTGGACTTAGTCTTAAAGGAATCAAAAAACATTCCAATGAATAAACATCACACGGGGCATGAATAAGTGTAGTTTAAAATCAATACAAGGTTTAACTTTTGAAAAACAGAAAAGCCGCTTCTACGTAACACTTGGTACAAAGAAAAATAACCGAAATTAGAACATACTGAGGCCTTAATAATGAAAAAAAATACATATGAACTGCGGATCTTGAGACTATAAGATGGAAATGACTGATAGGCGTGTTCGAAGCAAACTTGAACATACCCCAATCCTCATTCCAAAGATCCAGGTTATCGATCCCAAAATATCCTTCAGCGAGCCCCACGCTCCTCCCTCCAATCACGAAACCCACGACCCCTCACCAAAGCCCTTTCGAAAATACCTCAGTGCTGGGTAGGCCCGAAATGCTGGAGAGCCTCGTGGCAGGTGCAGCGAAAAGGATGGTGGGTCTCTTCCTACTCGTAGGTCAACTGTAGCCCCGCCCCTTCTGGCATGTGTTAGGTTTTGCGCCTGCTCAAGACCCCCTGCCGAGCCACCAGCCCGCCCATTTTTGAATAGAAAATAACAGAGAAAACATATCGCTGCGGAGAGCCAATCTGCAGAATACCGCGATAGAGCTACGGAGATACGTCTGTGTCTTCTTTTGCCCGCGGCGCAGTGTTTCACATACTGGAGTGACTGATCACTGAGTTATTGTGTATGAAAGGAAAATAGACTCCCTTATTTCCAATTCTTTTGAATAATTTCATATTATTACTCTTTACTAGCACCTTTTTTAATTAGTGAGATAGGCAACAAGCAAAAAACACATAAATCAGTTCTTTAAGTGGAGAAAGTAGAAAACAATTTATAGAAAGATCAGGAAAAATAGCAAATGTAACAAGGCAGGAATAAGCTAATATTTGAAGCTCATATCGTATTACATGATGAATAAAAACTCTTCAATTCAAGTCAAACACTCCTTTTGGATGAAAATTAACACATTTTGTCATGTGCCATTTATGCCAAACCTAGTAAATCATAAGAATACAGGAAGGTTTGAAGTAAACGGATGGAAGGAAATTTACCAAGCACATGCAAGTAAAAATAAAGGTTATGTTAATATCTGACTAAGACTAAAACAGAAAGTATTACAATTGAAAGGTTCATTCCATAGTGACTTGATTCACCATGAAGATGCACAAATCCCAATATTACACACAATGAGATGATGTGAAATAGACATAAAGAAACTATATTAGAACAAGTAAAATAAGGGGAAAGTTGTCTTTATGAAAGATTGCAACCATCCTGCTCTTTTTATTCCCAACCACTGTTCAAGACTCAGTTTTTGCACCACTGTTCTGAGAAGGTCTCTCTGCTTCCTTTTCATCTGGGTGGCTGACCTGTCTTCTGAGTGAACTTATGGACATAATTATACAGTAAATATGTTCCATTTATTGTAATTTGAAATTAAAAGGAAAGGGATATTTCCTGAATCTCTTACACCTGTTTTGTGCCTGTGTTCCTCACAAGAAATGAGGGCAAGGACAGTGTTGGTCTTGGTTACTGTTGGCTGCCCAGTGCCCAGGTGACTGCCTGGTACACAAGGGTGTCTGGTAGCCCCTGCTGATCACAGGAACGTGTAACAGAGCAATAGACTCTCTACCCAGTGGGCACAGAGGACAATACCTTGACACCAGATTCTGAGGAAAGAAAAAAGCTTTATTGCAAACCTTCTTTCTGCAAGGAGGCAGAAGGAAAATTCAAATCTGCTTCCCCAAGTCTTCCAGGAAAGTAAAGGGGTTTACATTGGTTTGAGGGAGTGGCTTAGAAAACAAAGGAGTTACATTTTCTTTATTTTTTTATTAATTTATTTTTGTATTTTCTTACATCATTGTTCATTTTGGTACAATATTTGATTTCTCCCCTCAGGTGTAGTCCCAATTCCCCCACCCCCACAGCACCCAGGACCATCTCCATCACCACAGTCCCTGTGCTCTTCCCTCCCCTTGTTTTGAGCCCTGTCCCTCCTCCTCCCCTACTTTATGCCTCAGATCTATGGTTTGCCTGCAAGTTTTGTCTTTTTCCTGATCCAAAGGAGTTAAATGTTGATGGCTAAAGAGTGGGCTAAGGGTAAAATGGACTTGACTGAAGTTTATTGGAGGGGTACAAAATTGGTCAATATATGGAGAGGATCCCTTAAATAACTGGATTTTCTATGTTAATGGATCCTTTCCCTAGGTACAATCTGGGTCGGTCCCTCTTTGACCCCCACCCCCTCATTTTTGCAAGCTCCCAGGCCCAGGCAGTCTGGGGCTCAGCTCAAGGTTAGTCACTTCCGTGCTTGCTCAGGTTGTATCCTTTGCAGATAAACATTCAAAGTTTTGCCAAGTCTGTGAATACAAGGCTGAAAGAAAAAGTTACATATGATTTTTTTTCTTTTATGCTTTAGAGTCTGAGAAGAATTTGACCATCCAACCTCAGTTTTAAACGCATCAGGCAGCCTGCCCCTCTGGTGCTGTTGCAAAATAGCAAATTACTGTAACCTGTCTGGCTCCCTGTTATTTCTTAAAGATAAGAACAAATATCTGCAGTAATTTACACTAGAGTTACGTTTAATAATTGAGAAGAAAAGCAAAATTCAAAAAGTGTTAAGATCTTTCTTCAGAAGCTATTTTCCCTATTTCAAGCCTGGTGTCCCCAGCTTCATAATTCAGTATATGGATTGGGGCAGGAAGTTGAGAAATCCAAGCTGAACTCAGAGGCTGTCTGTAAGCTCTAAAGAAAGAATAGTAGTTCTTGAGAGGTATGTTCTAAGACCCCCCTATGCACATCTATGATAAAGTTTAATTTATAATTTAGGCATAGTAAGAGATTAATGACACCTGATAATATAATAGAACAATTATAATAATATACTATAATAAAAGTGATGTAAATGGTGGGGGTCTCTCCCAAAATACCTTATAGTATCTGTTCTCATGCATTTGGCTGCAGGAAAGTGAAATTGTGGAACGTGAAACCGGGGATTAGGCAAGACTACTTTATTACCTCTCTGTGGCTATGCACGTTCTAAGCACTGCTTGTGGTGTCCAAGCGGAAGGCATGTTTTAACTTCCCTTTGAGTTATTTTTCCTCACTGTGGCCTCAAAGGAGTCATCAATGCTTCCTCACATCTGACTCAGACCTACTTCTCTAAAATTTCATGTCTCTTTACTGCTGTATTCTTTCATTCCTGATTCCACAACCCTAGCCCAGGTTTCCCTTATTTTACATAACAGTGGCCACCCGCCTCTTTGATGTGCCTGGTCATCCTTTCTGCCTCCTGGGTTGTCTTCCCAACGGGTCACAGATGAAGAATATGTCGTTATGCTCCTTGGGAATCTTCCCTCAATCCTCTGGGCGTCCTTCAGAGTTCCCTATGACAGTGTCTGCTTTCCTGTAACTGCTAAGTCCTCTCCCCAGACCATCCATGTGTTGAACACTCAGGGCATCCTGAATACGCACCCTCTTGTCAATCTAGGAAGGGCTTCCCTATCTTGGGACTCTGCTCAGACTGTCCTTCTCTTTTGCTAATTTCTGCTCACTCCTGAAGACTCAGCTTTGGTTTTGCCTTCTAGGGAATGTCCCTCTACTCCCTTTTCAACTGTGTGGCCTGCTACTCTTCTGAATGTACTTGTGGGCATAATTATAATAATGAATGGTATTCCTTTTATTTCAATTTTAGAATTATAAAGGATGGGGGAGTGTTGCATGTACCTCTCATGTCTGTTTCATAATTGTCTATTTTTGCCTGTCAACATTCTGCTCAACTCAGATGCCAGAGGCCTGCCCCGCTGGGAAGCATTTCCCAAACCCCTTGCTCCTCCTTCTTCATTTTTCCCACAACACTTCTGTCATTCTGCTCTCTGTCACTGGATCAAAGGCTTCTCTCCTTTACCAGAAAGTTACGGCAATGCAGGAATGAGAATGCCTCTGCTCCCAGCCCAGTGCTCCTGTAACTTGCTGTTGATTCTTACTGTTTTGGTCTCTTCTGACTTCCCAGATATACTTGGATGCCAAGCACTTAGTGAGCAAATAAGCACACCCTTAGAGACAAATGCTAGACTGGCAATTCAGGTAGGATGGAGCAAAAACATGAACCAGCCCAAGAGCAGATACTCTAAATTTAATCTTTCTCTGCAGCCTGTTTCTATATTTAAACTATTTTTCTTTTTTTACCTTTTAATTCCTTTCACTCATTTTCCTACCTCATCCTCCACCTTGTGGCAACCACCAATCCGTTCTCTGCATCCATAAGCTTTTTTTTTTTTTTGATGGTGGGTTTTTATTTTTAATACCACATGTAAGAGAGATCACAGGGGTATTTGTTTTTCCCCATCTGACTTATTTCACTTAGCATAAATTTAAGGATACCCTCAAGGCCTATCTATATTTTTGCAAATGGCAAAATTTTGTTCATTTGCATGGCTGAATTATATATATTTACCACAATTATATATATTATATATATATTTACCACATATACCACAATTTCTTTATTCATCCATCCATATTACATTTAGGTTGTTTCTGCATCTTAGCTATTATAAGTAACAAACATGGGTGCATACAGGCACACCTTTGAGATATTGCAAGTTCAGTTCCAGACCAACATAATAAAGCAAATATCATAAGAAAGAAGGTCATATGAATTTTTTGGTTTCCCAGTGCATATAAAAATTATGTTTACACTACACTGTAGTCTATTCAGTGTACAATAGCATTATGGCTAAAACACAATGTACATACCTTAATTTTAAATGTACTTTATTGCTAAAAAAAATGCTAACCATCACCTGAACCTTGAGCAATTCTAATCTTTTTGCTGGTGGAAGATCTTACCTTCATGAAAGCTGCCGACTGATGAGGGTAGTAGTTGCTGAAGACTGGAGTGGCTGTGGCAATTACTGAAAATAAGGCGACAGTGAAGTTTGCTGCATCCATTAACTCTTCCTTTCACAAAAGATTTTTCTGTAGTTGGGCCTCCCTGGTGGCCTAGGGGTTAAGTCTCAGGGCTACAGCACTATGGCATGAGTCGGATCCCCAACCAGGGAGCTACCCACATGGCACAGCAGACCTCTCCTGTCTCGCCTGCCGCTCCCCTCAGCAGTGTATTTCAGTCAGTCTTCCTGTTGTGCTCCCCACTCTGTCTCTGGTGAATCCTCTCCCCTCCCCCACACCCCAGCTCTTGTATGCATAAATAAAAAAAAATCTTTCTCTGAGGTTGGGCTGGGTATATGTGGTTGATGTCTCCGTGGGGAAGAGTGCATGATGTTGGGCCACTGCACAGAGGGTAATAAGACCTCTGATGAGACAGCTGCTGACATCGTCACCCTCTGGGGTTCTCAAATCAGGCAAGTGTGACCATGAGAGCAGCAAACAAGCACACTCACATTCTCATCAATTGAATGAAAGTT